TGTGATCCTGAATGACCAGACGCAACTGATGCAACTTGGCTGTTGGACACCTTACTGAACACCGTACTTTGTGTGTTTTCCCTACCGTTCGTAATAACTGGTTCCTCTTCTTTTTTGCTTTGGACCTGTAACCCTGATGCCGTTGTACTAGTGGTGCTCGTTGTAGTAATTGGCGCATCTGCCACTCCTTCTGATCCATTCGGGGATTTACTTCCAACGGTTTCCTTCGCCTGTGTCGGAGCTTGTAACCCCGCCACGGTCGCCGTACCTTGTCTTTCTGGCTCAGGAAGCTTCTCCTTTGATCCATTTGCGGTACCGACTGTATTACCCACCACCCCCTGCGCATCGGTCGTACTCATTCCCACTGAAGTACCGATCGCCTGACTTAATACTAATGGAATAATGGTTTCCAAACCTGTTAAATCTGACTTATCGGTTGAAACTGCTGCGTTCGACCTAGAGAGCTTTAAACCAGGACCCTTATCACCATCTTGTTCCTCTTCCAAAGCGGCTGGCGGACCTTGTATGTTTTGCGTATCCTTCCCAACTTGATCCTTTGGCGCATCTTTCCCCAGTTCTCGGTCCGCTTCTGTTCCCTTCTGCTTAACTTCCGCCCCAACTGGTCCCTTTTCTGTACCAGAGTCCGGACCGAGTTCAGGAAGATAAACTTCACTCGCCATCACGCAATCGGACAGGCAGCAGCACAGGGCAAGCACCAACAGGGCGCACAGCAAACGGCACGTCATCATTGTGAGTGTGGTCGTTCAGTGGTGTGGAGCTGATCTGCACAGTGAGGGGCATGGAGAGCAACAGGGGAGACGAGAGGTGCGGCAGACACACACAGAGGGCACACCACATGAGAAGAGGGCAGCAGCCAGGCATGCACCGTACGCCGCACACCACGCACGACACACACATCCCTGCCGCAACGCCAACACAAAGATGGCAGAAGAAACCGAATTCTCTGGATGAGGTGCCGCCGAGCGTCTTCGTGCGGGACTCGTTTCGGCGCAAGTTGAGCCATACAGACATCAGCAGTGTTGCTACGCCGCGCTTCTCGCAGCACCAAGCCGTGGATTGAGAGGATGTGAGGGTTTGCTTCAATTACAAGAACAACGAGATGCGGCGCATGACGGCCAACCTGATCGTCCGTGTGTTTGCAGCGCATGGAGCACGTGCGCCAGCACTTGTTGGACGTAGCGCTCATGATTGTGGAGGGGAGGCGGCACGACATTGTTGTGCTGTGTGTGTTGCGCGGCCGGGGCATGCCGGCGATTGTGAGGGACGTGGAGGACACGGAGCTGCTGGACTGAGGGAGGAGGAGGTGGCGGACGTTGTGGCGCAGCGGGAGCGCATGACGGACTACCTGTGCTGGAGGGGCGCGTGTTGAAGTGAGCGTGGCGTGTCTGTGAGGGCCTGAGGAGAGGGAATAACAGCAACAGTGACTGTGGGGATGTGAGGAACGGTGCACGGCGAGGAGCGCTCCTCTTTTTTTATTATTGTTGTTAACCGTGCCCACCCAATTCTTGCTGTTGTGGCGGTACGTGACTCTCATTTCTGGATGGGACGGTGCGTGGCTGTGTGACTTGTCTCTCCTTTTTGTTTTTGCTCTGCGTTGACGGGGAGTTAGTTTGTGCTGAAGGCTGCACGCAATTGAGAGGAGTGATGGCGATGATGATGGCTGGCCGTGTGCTGCTGGTGTGTGCCCTCTGCGTGCTGTGGTGCGGTGCCGGCGGTAGATGTGACGGGGATGAGGTATCTTCCTCTGCTTTGTCTGGGCCTCGAGGGGGTGTTGATGGGCCGCAGAGTTCATCGAAGTCAGTTGCTGGAGTGTCTGAAGACGCGAGGCAATTGTTGTATGCACAAAACGGAAAGAATGAAAACCAAGGAAGAGGTTCAGTTATAGAACCTTCACTAGATGATGTCTATGAGGAAGAAAAGGGGGAAGAAACAGAGACACGCGAAACACCACCACCAGCAGGCGGAGGAATAAAAGCACCGTCTGTTTCTGCTTGGTCCTGGTGTCATTCCTACTTCGGGGTCTTCTTCTCCTTCTGGCGTTGATTCTTCATCCCGCATTGGTGGCAAAACAGGGCCTACAGTCAGTACTTCATCCAATACAGTTGGGAAAGCTTCGAAAGAAGATATGGCACTACAAGAAAAGGAGAGTCAACACACCCAGCTAGGCGACGGAGAGGCAGCAGGAACACACAACAACGGATCGCAACAAAACAGTTCTGCTCCACCACCAACGGGGGGCCAAAATGACAACGACGCCGTCACGTTGAGTGCCGATGGTTTACGCACTTTGGGAGTACAAATAGCGGTAAAAGGGGATTTAGAAGCTTCCCGATCGGAAGAACCATCAGATGGTCCAAGTACAAACTTACCAGAAAGTGGAAGGGCTCCGCCGGAATCATCACAAGCAGCGGCAGCACCGGAACACACGCCTCAGCACAAAGTAATGACGTCAGTAAAAGAGGAGACGGAGAGAATGAACATGAATGCATCCGCAAATTTACCTGGGGCCCCTAAAAGAAGTAACGAGGATCCTGCATCCACAGCCACCACAATGCAGAGTACATCAACTGGCGGTCAAGAAGGAGAAGCTACGCCGTCTTCAAATGGAATTCCTAAAATTCAGGAGGAAAAACTCACTGGAAACAATACCACTGAGAATGTTCAGCCTTCGGATACTGCAGAGACTGAAAGACTCCAAAGTGTAAATACATCTAATGTTGGCGACAGCGACGGCAGCACCGCGGTCTCCCACACCGCCTCCCCTCTTCTTGTCGTTGCGTCTGCGGCTGCGGTGGTGGCCGCGTGAGAGTGAGGGAGAGCCGTGCACCGCCCGCACACACACTCTTCCTTCTCTCACTGTGTGTGTGTCCCCTTGCATGGACTCTCGCTCTCACCTCACCCCACGAGGCACACACATAATGTGCCCATTGTATATATGCATGCACACCCATGCAGGCCCGTTGGTGCTCTCTTTTGCACGACACGCACCGCTGCCGTCCTGCCTGGCTGCATGGGCGGAGCACCGTAACTGTTTTTAACATTCCTTTTTCTTGTTTTCTTTAAAATATTTTGTTGTTTTTTGTTTTTTTCTTTTATTTCCCTTCTTTTTTTTGCTTTTGGGGGCAATCACTATGTACGTTTTTTTCTTTTCTACTCTTCCCTTTTTAATTGTTTCTTTCTGCACTCTTCCTGCGAGGGGTGCCGTGTGTTTCCGCCCAACTGCTCCACCCGCACACCCACCGACACGCTCATGACGACGGCCCTGTGCGCCTCGCCTGCTGCACGCATGAGGAGGGGCCGCGACGAACGGCGCGCTGAGGGAGCCGTGACGTGTGGGCGTGCGACGAGGGCCTGTGGGGCGGCGCACACATTTCTTCCCTCTTGTTTTGTTTTCTTGCGGCCAGGGCGGGCAGACACCCGCAGCGCCACACACACAGCCAAACCCTGCCGCCGTGTTTTTCTTTTTTTTGTTTCTTTTTTTTTGTGGATGGGTGTGTGCCGCTGCGACCGTGCGGTGATGGAGGGCGGAGAGCTGTGCCGGACGTATTGCCGACGGACCACTGTGCATCCTCAGTGACTTCCTTACTTAATGGCTGTCTGCTTCATACCGTCATGAGCGAAGTGTTTGTCCTCTTTTTTTTCTTTACTGCCCACACGCGTTGCCGGCTCCGCTGCTGTGCGTCCCATGGACTGCATGAAACGACGATTGGAAGAACAGGCCGGATGCCGCGTGAAATGTTGGGGATGCTGTGTGGGCTGGTGGAACATTAAAGTCCTTTATTGACTTCTTTTTATTGTTGAGGGCAGTATTTATACACAAACACACGGTCATATTGTTGTGGTCGGCACATGAAATAAACGTCTTTCCGAATCATTGTTTTTACTTTTTTATTTTGTTTGGGAGTTCTTCTGGAGTCTCACCTTTTTTGTTTTTGGTAAATCACTGCGGTTCATTTTCTTTGTTTTTGCTGTGTTCACTGTCGCTGAGTGTCTCCGCGTCCCGTTGAGTGTCCCACTGCTGGCTGTGCTGTTGACATGCCTCATTTCTTTTTTCCTGCTAGAGACACTGATAGTCCGCGACGACGATTGTTTGTGTTCCCCATTGCGATGGCACGAGGGTGACTGGGCGCCGGCCTGCTGAGTGCACTCGGAGGAGAGCGGATTGTGTGCGCCGTGCCTCACTGTGAGTGTGGGACGCCAATCCACCACTACCTGCTGTGGGGCGTAATTCCAATCTGTCGGGGAAGGGAGAAGTACAGCGCAGTGCTGTGGAGTTGTATGCGCCCTGTCCCTCTCTTTGCCGCCATGTGTGTGCGGTGCGCATGGCACTATCTTGCGGTGCGAAGTGGATGGCGTTGCCTCTGCATGCGTTGTGCGGCGGGCATTTCTTCTCCATGTCTTTGCCCTTTTGTGTGTGGAAAAGTTGTGGGAAAGGATATGTGTGCGGGAGTGAGCGTGGGTGGCTGCCAGCCTCGCCCTGCGCATTGGAGAATTCCATACACGTGGCTCTGCTTGACGGTGTTTCGCGGCACCCAGGGTGTGGCGAGGATGAGGATGGGGAAGGTCTGTTGTGGGCAGAAGGTGGATGGATGACACAGTCCCCTTCCGTGTCCTTCCCTGTGTTGTTGGCAGTACATACTGAGAGCGTAAACTTGAGCGAGTGCGGTATGAAACGTTTATTCCGCTTTGTGCGTGCTACTCAATCGTCGTCATTGCAGGCGGTCGTCACGGTGCGTTGCGGTGCGGTGCCGTTTGATGAGGGAGGGGCGCGATGCCACGGCTGCTGCGCACCACGACCATTTATTGCCTCTGCACCGTCATTGTTGTTTTTCAGTTTGTGTGATTTTTTTCGCGCTCGCATAATGTTTTCTTTTGCTCCACGATGAATTTGTTGTGGGAGCTTTGATTTTGGTGCCTGCTTCACGGCGCTTCGCCTTGTGTGTCGGTTGCGGTGCTTCCACGTGGTGCCAAGGCGTTTGATGGGGTGTTTATTCTTCTTTTTGCGCCCTGCAGCTAATCTTGTTTGGTCATGGCAGCAGCGGTGGGGCTCTGCGACTGCGCACTTGCCATGCGTGTCTCATCTTTTGCCGCTGCTCCCTCGTTGTGTTGGTGGGGGAGGAGACGAGCGACTGCGTCGGTGGAGTTGCGCCCCAGTGGGAGAGGGAAGGCACCGACCGCTGCTGACGGCGACGGTCTTTGCTGCAGGCGATGTGACGGGAGGACGTCACCGGTGTCACAGTCAACCGAGATGGATGAGGGCCGCACTGCGTCTCCCGCCCCTCTCATCATCCTCTCTGTCCACTGCAGTCACACGCCACACGCACCGCAGAGCGGCGTCGCGACCACCATCCGGATGTCTGTGAGCCAATTGGAATGCAAAATCGATGTGGACCCTTTTTCCCCGTGTCTGAGTGCCGCCGTGCTTCTTTATGTTTCCTTTGTTGTGTATGTCGGGCGCGCATGTTGCCGCTGCCTGCTGTGCAATGCCGACTCGCGTGAACGAGAAACGATGCTTTGACTGCTGGCGACCGGCGAGCTCTCCACTCCACTTACGCACCAACACCAACAACACCTTTCGGACGCGCTTGATGGCCGGCGGTCGTAACGCTGCCACGTGGTCTGCCTCGGCTCTTGTGTGTCGTGCACGGCATCGGGACCGCCCCGTGATGCAGCCACTCGGTAACAGGAGCGGTGCCAGTGGTCATGTGGCTTTTTGCCGGGATTCCGCCACTCGGCACGGTGGCTGTACGGGGTTGTATGGGCGGTGGGAAGGCTATGGTGTCACTGAATTGATTGCGTCTGCGCTGCTTTGCTTCGGCGGCTGTATTGTGATGGTTATTGTGTATGACCGGATGCCTCTGCGTGCCACTGTGTTTGGTTACTGTTGTTGTTGCCTCTTATTCTTTTTTTGAGCGTGCAGTTAGAGATACTTTTGCTTGACCAGTACAACTATCGTTTCAAGGTGTTAGGGATTACTTGCAGTATTAGGATTAGCAGTAGTGGGATAACTATCTGGCGGAATCGTGTCACTGGATTCGCCATCTGTAGGAAGGGATTTGCTAGGCAGGAATTACGGTCGACGGGGCGAGTGCGACACACCACGATAGCCTTGTTGGTACTTGTCTGGGTTGGTGGATGCGGTCTGCGGTGGGTGCGTGTCCGCGCAGCCGGCACCGTGTGCAGCGCAGGGCCATTGCGGCTGTGCGTGTGGCGCTGCTCGTTGTGTTGGCGCTGGTTGCTGCTGCTGCGTGGATGCCCGCGGTGTATGCGGTGGTGTTGCGACTGCGGGGCGGCACGGTGGACAGAGCCATCACGGTTGGCCGCGCCGTGGACACGGTGCTGATGGACGGCGTGTACATCACGAACGGCGTGGCTGTTGTGTTCGACGTGCCGGCGATGCTTCCCGGCGCGCTGCGCATCGAACTGAGGAACTGCGTGTGCGACGGCGGCGCGCAGATCTACGTGCGGGGCTACAGCGGCGAGCCGGCGAGTGACCGGAGCCTGGAGGTGAGCGTGAGCGGGCTGTCCGGGAGCTACTGCTCGCTTGTGTTTGTGCGCAACCTGCCGGCACACACGAACGTGACGGTCCGTGACTCGACGATTGTGACGGCGGGGCCGATGCGCTACTCCCAGCTGAGCGGGCTGACGGACGCGGTGGCGTCGCCGCTTGTGCTGCACGCGACGTCGCTGTTGCAGACGCAGCTGCGTGTGAGCAGCACTGTGCTGAGGTCGTTGCAGGCGGGCGGGTCTGCGGTGTACGTTGGCGGCGGTGTGGACCTGCTGTCGAGCGCGGTGGTGCTTGACGGCGTGTTGCTGGAGGCGTCGGGCGGTTCGACCGCGTCCGCGTTGCATGTGGCGTCCTCGTCGCGTCTCAGTCTGCGTAACCACTCGGTGTTCTCCGTGACGAACGTGTCGGCTGTGAGCAGCGGCGGCGGCATTTTGCTTGGAGAGCGCCTCGCGGTGTCCGACTCGGTGCTGCGCTTCGTGGGCGTCGAGGGGTCAGTCGCGTCGTCGCTGGTGCGCTGCGACGGTGGGACGGTCGGTGCCGGCGGGTGGCTGGAGCTGCGCGACGTGTGGGCGGTGGGCGAGGCGTCGTCTGTGGCGTCGCTGTCGGGGGTGACGCTGAGCGGCGGTACCGTGTCGATTGCGCGCTGCGCTGCCACCGGCGTTACTCTTGTCTCCGGGCTGACGATCGCGAGCGGTGCCGTGTCGGTGCAGTGCAACCGTGCTGGCGGC